TGCTGCTTAGCACGTTTCTTTAATTCACTATCAATATTAAAGCATACATTTAGGAGGCATTTCCGCCCCAACCATGTACATGTATGGCATTGGTATTGGTGTGACTTTTGAATTGATTTTTTCGCTTTATTTTAAACTAATTTGAAATTTTAAAAATTGGCTGCACATCAGCATCAAAATACCTTTCTAATGATATATAATTGTTTATACCTTAGAAGTACAGTTTAGCCGTAAAAGGGGTGTAAAGGAAACATGATTGCCTATTTATATAATTGATGAACACAGAGTATGTTACCAGCCGTTCATCGAACTTTTACTTAACATTTTTAATACCTACTGAGTGCGCAACAATTCTTGGAAATTACAGCAACAAATTTCTAATAAATTTTTTTTAAGTTGCATTTAATAAAATATTTTTGATTGATTTTGAAATACACACGCACACATACTTTCATTATAAACTTGTATGCACTTCTTTATTTGTGCTTTGCCAAAAGCTGAGTAAATCTCCTCCTATCCAATACCCATAAAATACTCGCGCGAAATAAACTTTTATTAAGTAGCGGGCAAAAATCCAAACCAATCCCCCCCCCAATCGTTGAGTACAGCTGGAAGACGTTTTAAAATTCGATTCAAATTAAAAAGTTTACACGCATTTACCTGCTAAACTCACGTCTGCCGGCTTTCATTGTTTTTACAGCAAATGTTGTTCACCCTTGAAATGGGCAGCAACGCAACAACAACAACAACAACAACAACAACAACACAACAGCGGGAAAAGAGTATAAAAGCAGCATTACAAACAAAAGCTTCCAATGACAGGCATTTACAAAGTTTTCACAAACTTGTTGAAAATAATTGTACAAATTTGAAGACAACGCAAAGATGTGTAATGCTGTTGCTTTGAGGAGTAGGGGGAGTACGAAGATGGAAACAAAAAGAATGCAAGGAACGGTATTCAGGAAATTGCTTTAAATTAAATTCATTTAAAAATTATATGTGGTATCAAGGAAATTTTGGTGAGTAAAGACAATAAAGACCTTGGACCGTACAGTTTTGGCAGTGGCTTCAAAAATATAAACCTCTGCATATCTACACACCGAAAATGCCTTCACGTATTATAAAGGGTGTCCAACACGACCCATCCACTTTTGTTTGAAACTTTTTTCTCGGAGTAGCTTTTTTTAGGCAGAATCCACATCTGAGTTAAAAACTCATATATATGTCCCATTTACCTAACCTAATAACAATGGTGGGGGTAAATACGTAAATGGAGAAAAGAATGAAGATATAGATCAGGATAAAGGAAAAGATAAATATGAAGACGGAGGTGAATATGAAGATGAAGATGAAGATGAAGATGGCGATGACGATGAAGATGAAGATGAAGATGAAGATGAAGATGAAGATGAAGATGAAGATGAAGATGAAGATGAAGATGAAGATGAAGATGAAGATGAAGATGAAGATGAATATGAACATGAACATGAACATGAACATGAACATGAAAATGAACATGAACATGAACATGAACATGAACATGAAAATGAACATGAACATGAACTTGAACATGAACATGAACATGAACATGAACATGAACATGAATATGAAGGTGTAGATAAACATAAACAAAAACATAAACATTAAAAGCGATAGAGACAAAGATAGAGAGGAAGAAAGTGATAGGGATAAAAAGGAAATAAAACTGAAGAATGTGCGATGTTATATTGTAATGTGTTATGCTACATATGTTATGTTATTGAATCTAATGCTATTCTATGTTATGGTATGCTAAGTACTAAGCTAAACTCCCCTCCACTTAACCCATTCCAACACATTTTATTTCAGCTCAACTCAACTCACATAAACTATCCTTAATTTTAGCGGTTGAATTTCAACCGTTGGGCGAACACTAGTATTCATAATACTTTATAGAAAGAAAAATTTCATACCTCAGTTGGCAAGATCCTAAAGTGAATATTCTGCTCATGGCTTGTCGATGCTAGCTGGCTTGTCATATACGCTTGGTTTGGTTTGCTCGGACCAGGTAGCGAACCCAGGTCCTGCGCAGTGGAAGTACGCACCCCCAAAAACACATTTGGCATCTTTCGTTTGATAGTCAAAATAATTATATTTTCATTGTTAGGACAAAATTTTACACTAGTATTTAACTGTAGCTTGCTATGCTTTAAATATAACCAAAAATAATTGAATCTAAAACCAACTACAGGCAATTTATTAGCGTACGTTTTATACATACTATAGAATCTTGTGAGTGTATACCGCAATTATGTTGCTCATACGCCATGTGCTCTTTTCTAATATTGTATTTCGATAGCATATCTATTCAATTTTCCAGTTCAAATGAAATGTAATGCAACCGAAAATTAATATATTTTAATATCTGTTTTTTAGATAACTATAATCATAAAATTAGTTGTATAATTTAATTGAATGCAAAGCAATATTAAACATACTCGTACGCTGAGTGCAACCACAATGCATTTACAATGTGGGTAATGGCATAAGCCAATCTACATCGCTGTTTACATATGTATATGTGGTACCTACACATACCATTACATACACCCAGCTTTATTGTTTTCAAAGCTACGTGACCGTGGTGAGTCCTATATAACGGGTGATTTTTTAAGAGCTTGATAACTTTTTTTTAAAAAAAAACGCATAAAATTTGCAAAATCTCATCGGTTCTTTATTTGAAACGTTAGATTGGTCCATGACATTTACTTTTTGAAGATAATTTCATTTAAATGTTGACCGCGGCTGCGTCTTAGGTGGTCCATTCGGAAAGTCCAATTTTGGGCAACTTTTTCGAGCATTTCGGCCGGAATAGCCCGAATTTCTTCGGAAATGTTGTCTTCCAAAGCTGGAATAGTTGCTGGCTTATTTCTGTAGACTTTAGACTTGACGTAGCCCCACAAAAAATAGTCTAAAGGCGTCAAATCGCATGATCTTGGTGGCCAACTTACCGGTCCATTTCTTGAGATGAATTGTTCTCCGAAGTTTTCCCTCAAAATGGCCATAGAATCGCGAGCTGTGTGGCATGTAGCGCCATCTTGTTGNTCTTACATATACACACACTTATTCGAAAACTAGTGCATAGTAGCTACTATCAGCGTACACTTCCATGCCAAAGCGTATTAGGCGCGTAAATTACGTTGACATTTAATATCATAGGAACATAAATAATTTTTAAATTAAATAGCAAGGCATTGTTAGGCATTATATTACGTACTGTTGTTGTTGTTTTTTGTTTATGTTTGCTTTGCATACGCGTAGTAGCGGATATGGAGCGTAAAACATGCGTTGAACGGAAACAGGATGCGGAAATAACGCCATAAATTTAGTTACAAAGCGCCGACAAAATAATAACCCCAAATACAAACTTCACACAACAACATGTACAGTAAATAAACAAGTTGTATGGTTGTAAACACACAACTGAATTTAAAAACAAAATTATTGAAAAGTCTCCAGTCACTAGTTCACAATTATTTGAGGGAAATGTTGAGACTATTTCTGAGACATTTGGAGCCTTATTCGGGATAATTTTGAGTCCACCTCAGGACCATTTCGGTACTAGTTCAGGACTATTTGAGGACTATTTTGACCCTAGTTCAGGATTCTTTTGGGATTAGTTTAGGATCATGTCACGTTTTTTTTTTTTTAAATAAAAAATCAATGAGCGCTCATTAAAGCACCT